GAGTAAAGGGTTATAAGTCAAACCATTTAAACACTGGTTTAAAATGCAGTAAGTTATGATGAAGTCAGTATAGACCTCTGCTTCAACAGATGTATTATCTGAGTTGGCTCCCCTGGTGGTGGCTGTGTTCATGCAATGAAGAGCAGCATCTATTGTGCAAATGTATATCTACGATTAACATCAATCAACCTGTGCTGCATTGATAGATGCTCACCCAGCTACCATCAATCTCAGGCAGAGGCAGATGTGGGCATGTAAAGCTCTTTGGTGCACTCACATAATTGCAATGTGGATTCAACAGTAATCAGAACAAATATGATTTGGTCCTTGGTGTAGACTGAGCGGCTAACCCAAGGAGCCCTACACTGTATGTCTCTCAGTTTCAACTAAGAAAATGAAATGCTTCATCAGTAACAAGTTAAGACAAAAATATCATCATATTCGTTTAAATTGTTTTTATGCATTTTTTCCTACATTACTAAAATATTTTGGTTTAGTTTTTGTTTCATGCAGTTTAAGTAAATAATACCTAAGAATCAAGTTTGAATAATTGTGTCAGATCACCTACCTCCATTGTCTCTGACGCTGAAATTTCTGTGGTGGGTCTCCTCTGGAGCCAGACTGAAGGCAAACTTGTGTCCTGATGACGGCTCGTCAGCATCAACAGCACTCACTGTCTGGATCCGCTGCCAGAGACATCAACATTGATCAACACGAGCATCATGGTGGAGTCTGTAAAGCTGCCAAAGTGAGCAGCTTCGATATGATCAGGCTTATTGCTGCCTGTGCTACAAACACCATCAATATCTCAGCAACAGCAGTCGATTAAACAGCGCTTTGAAAAAGAACAGGAAGCAGTGGTTAGCTTACAGAATCACACACAACAAATAAAACAAATACTTGATACCTCCATTAAGACTAAAGCTGCTGCTTTACACTTGAACAGCAGCACTAATGAACCTTTCCTTCTTTGGAAGTAAGCTGTTTTCTTTTTGGTATTCTAATGTCTTTACTCACCAATTTTTATTCAAATGTAACTACATACCTGCTTCCTGCTTTGAAAATGTAACAGCAGGACACCAAAGCAGAGTATTTAACTTTATGTTAGGAAAACAACAAATGTAGGATCACACCGAGTTTAAGATAAGATGAGATACCTTTATTAGTCCCACGAGTGGGAAATTTCATGTGGAGAGTTTCAATGAAGAGAGGAGAAGTAGATTATTCTACAGCTGTGATCTGAGACGTTTCTTGGTTGTTTTGATGTGTTTTGTCCAACACTTGCCACTGTTGACATCCATTGTAGCTGAAATCAATCTGAGAACAGCTGCTGTTCACTGTGTAGCAGCACGACACCAACGTCCCACAGCTACCTTTCAAGTCTGCAAGGTCGGAGAGTTTCATACTCCAAAGATAGATTTTGGGTGGAGAATCAGTGTAACGCATGAAGCCGACACAGCTTCATGCAGTTTCGATGAATTTCAGGCTGAAACCAATTCAAAAACTATGAGTATAACGTGTGCTGTGGGACTAACACACTGAATGAACATATAACATGTTAATATACTAATAGTGAAATAGAGAGTTCTGTTACTTCTGTGTGAAAAGGAGACGTCACTGAATGGAAGGGTCCATATTGTCTT